AGGGATTCGCTGGTGGTCACCCACCCAACTACTAACCTCCCGGCGTGTGGCTTGAGTACGGCTGAGCGGACGGGAAGCCCTATTTTCCACACCCTGTGGTCGTATGTGCTTATTTAACTGTTGCTTTAGCTTATATCATGCACATTTACCTATTAGACGTTGAGTTACTGTCAACATACAGCTACAGAAGGTTCAGAATATCCATCCATGTTCGGATGGAACGTGAAATGGCTCATGCTCTCACCGGGTAGGCTTCGCAGAAGCATGAGCCTTATATACATACAGCAAATCAGATTTAGCAAGGAAACACTGTAGGCAGTATAGACATCATTTGTGCAGTCCTGGTGTAACAAGTGACAGATGATACCAGGCACGTTGGCATGTCCCAACGAAACATCTTCCTAGCCAATCTTCCGATAACTGTCTGGGTGGTCTTATCGCTGCACATAGACTCCGATATTGTAAGATAACTTGTATGTCAGCTTCAACCTTCTTTACTATTAACTGGGTCGCGTATACACGTTTACTGTTAACGAGCATGCAAGCGCTAGATCTTTAAGCTACAGCCCGCCAAATTTAGCATCACTTTCACCACCGGCGTGGACAAGTCTAGGCTCTCATGACATGGGAGGCAGTCGGGTCTCTGTCCGCCACCCATTTGCAGAAGCTGTCGAAAGAGGGAAGTAAGTATAACGAAGCGAAGCGGTTTCCTACTTTCTACCTCAAAATTCTCATAAGAAAACTAGCCTTGTAATGATGAAATGAGATGCCACTTGGGCTTGTTTACTCGCTAGACACAGTGGAGGCGAAGCACATAGCTGCTGTCTATTTATGGTAAGGTTTCTATTACCGCCGCAAGGTGCTGCATATACAAGTTTGGAATGTATAATTCTATGGACGGGAAGCATGGGGCTCAGTTGTTGGACGCTTGTGCTTGATTTCAGTCAAAGAGCGTGAAAGGCCATGCAAGAAGTGTGTATCTAGGTTATCGTTATATCGTGGTTAAAGCACGTTAGCAGGAATGAAAGAGTCGACTGGGAGATGTGGATCGGTTGGATTATCGAATGAAGTTGCCTGAGGATTTCGTCACTGTAGCCCTAGAATCTGGGTAAATTTTTCGGGTTCAGCGAGTCGGCACCGGGACCTACAAAGATAATTCATACTATTGAGAGATTGAGAATCCAATCACATGCCTGCCAACAAAAGTTGGCACCAGCAATTTGATGTGATATGTAGGTGGCAGTGAAGTGAAATTGAAACAAGATACCGTTGGGTAGCACTATGGAAGTTGCCCACCGAAGATTATGAAACACAAAAAGCACAAATTATTATTTCTACTCCGGTAGGCTTTAGTTGAGCAACGAGACAACCGTCAATGGTCACAAGTACAAATTGGATGTACAATGGTGGTCTTACTTTGTGCATTGATCCCACATATCGTTGACTTTTTGTCTACCTCACCTAGACTGTTGTTAACTATTTCAGAACCATTGTTTAGAGGGCATCACATTCAAAATAAACACCGATGATTATGCTAGCGCCATCACCCGATAATAGATTCCGTTCCCCGTTGGTGTCATCACAGCCCTGTCTTCCATCCCATGGCTCCGGATGTGAGGTTCATTGGGCGATGATGCGGGGAAGCTCGAGCATCTTACCACTTGACACCATGACGTGTCGTATCCCCGCTGTCTTTCTTTCGCGAACCTATAGATGAAAAGAAGCCGATTATTTGATAAGGTTTGCACTCACCGCTTATCAGCGTAATCTCTCATCCTGGCGCTTCCAGGGGTCCCATGCACCACACAATCAGGGGAAGCTGTGACCGGAAAAGTATATTCCAGCTTCAGGCAAACTCAATGCTTCTAGCGTGTTTACGCAACCTATCGGACTAGCGAAGCTCTTATGAAAATAGTGTCGCCTTGTCAACTGGCTTTGTTTTGTGGTGCCTCATGGCGCCCGTGGCTCGCGCCTGGGCCTCGTGGGCTGTTGTGGGTAGATGGGCATCAGAGTTGAGAGGTGGTCTGTGGGATAAACACAATATCACGAACGTCTCCGTACCTGAATCTCACCCGGACCGACCCGTCATCAACGTTGTACTATATAGTCAAAGCTATCTCCCCATTCTCCCATGGTTTGGTCCAGGAAGCTCCAGACCGTACCAGGCCAGCTCTACGACTAAGACCTTCATCGAAATGCGTTTAACTATCGCCTACCTCATTGCTGCTCTCGCTAGTACCGCTACCTCCGCAGCCCTAGGCCTCAAATGCACCTCGACTCTTTTGGGGACTACCTGCTATGGTCAGATTACCTTGCGTTGCATTAGACGCCAAAGGTGTATGGCTGACATAGAATTTAGAGGGCCAGATGTACCAGTGCCAGAATGGACTTATGGGTAGCAGAATCCCTTGCGCCAGTGGTCAACAGTGTCATCTCCTGTTCGGGGCCACGCTCTGCCTTTGAGCGCATGCTGCTGCTTAGGCGATGATTACGAATTGCAGCTATTGAACAGTACGGGTACCAGCAAAGAAATGTGCGTTCCTCGAACAGGGTATCATCTGACTTGTTAAACAGATCCTAGCCATAGAGGGTCCTAGGCCATCCTTGGTCGTGTTTCAATGCATAAGTTATCTCCAAATTACCTTAGCACCTCTTCGAATGACAGTGTCGGAAGGTTGTTCGATCAAAACCACTATCGATCACATCCATGACCGACGAAAATTCACCTCAACTTCCGCCCGACGTTTTGCTTTCCTGCTTGTGAAACCGTGTTGTCGACTACTCCTATAGGCTGCGCATGATGGATGTGTGATTGTCATAATAGAGCAAAAGCTGCGCATTATTCTATCAAGTTCAACGAGAGGGCATGTTACAGGAGCCGAATTCGGTTCCATTGCTGACGGCTTGGGAGTGGGGTTGAGGTACTATTGTCGCCGTTACAATGTACCTTAGGCACAATAGCTAGATCAGAGATGATTCAAAAGGTGCTAGTTACCCCCCTCGGCTTGAGATGGACGACTCTGCGAAGAAAAAAAAAATTAAAAAACAAAAAACATACAACAGAAGGGATTCGCTGGTGGTCACCCACCCAACTACTAACCTCCCGGCGTGTGGCTTGAGTACGGCTGAGCGGACGGGAAGCC